TAAAAATTGAATAGAAAAATCCTTTATGTTTTAACTGCGAATTAAGGAAAGAACATCACTATTTTATTACAATGGAGGAGAAACACCTAGGACTGTATTTTGAGATTTATTGTTCTATCTGGCTATCTGAACTGTCTACTTTTCCTTCTATTGTTACTGGCATTTGTGAGTAGATCAAGTTACACCTGTGAGTCAGGGTTCCCCAGCATTCTTTGGGTCCTGAAGACATGCCATTCTGGTGATGGCTGCTTTGACATCCTTGTTCCTCGGCGTGTAGGTGAGAGGGTTGAGGACAGGGGTGAGGACAGCATACACCACATTGCCCATGATGTGAAAGTCGAGGGGCAGGTCAGCCCTGTAGGCCACATAGGCTGTGGCAATGGATGAATAGTAGGTGCCAACCACCAGGAGGTGGGAGCCGCAGGTGGAGAAGGCTCTCGAGCGTCCTTCTCGGGAGCTGATGCGAAGCACTGAAGCCAGGATGTGGGCATAGGAGAGAAGCACCAGGAGAAGGGGCAGGAAGGATACCACCATGGCGATGCAGAAGCCCATGAAGGTCTGGGGCGTGGTGTCAGAGCAGGAGGCCTGAACCAGAGCCAGGTGGTCACAGAAACAATGGTAGATGTGAGCAATGTTGTTATACGCCATCTGGGAGGTCTTGACCACTGCAGGGATGGGCAGGAGGAGGGCAGTGAGCCAGGCACAGGCTGCCAGGGCGGCACTGGTGTGCGGGGTCATGAGGACAGGGTAGCGCAGGGAGCGGCAGATAGCCACATAGCGGTCATAGGCCATGGCCACCAGGATGAAGGCTTCTGAGCAGGAGCTGTGGAAGTGGTGCATCTGCAGGAAGCAGGCGGGGAAGCTGAGGAGGCGGTCCCCAAGCAAGAGGAGGAACAGCATCTTGGGGACGGTGGTCAGGTGAAGAGGATGTCCAGGGCCGAGAGACTGATCAGGAAGAAGTACATGGGCTTGTGCAGGCTGGGATCTGCCACCACAGCCACCAGCATCAGGGCATTTCCCAGCAGGATGAGCAGGTAGAGGAGGAGAAAGACAAAGAAGATAGGAAGAAAGAGGGATTTGGGCAGAGAAGGAATGCCCACCAGGCAGAAGATGGTTGAGGAGTCCTCTGATCCATTACAGGCTATGGTCTCCATGGGGTTAATCTGGATGCCCAGGAAGTAGGTAGTGGAAACATCTGGGAACCAAGCACATCTGGAAATCAGAATAATCAGTGATTCTGCAATGATAATTATGTGATGGTCACTGTATAATTAAGGTAACACTCTTTTCTTTTATAATCAAGTATGGAAAAAGTATCTACAATATGCAACCATATGTTCTATGCTGGGTATATAGTAGACAGTTGAACAAGACAGAGACAGTCTCTCACTTCATGGAGCTCATTCTAGTGGAAGAAAGAGACATTAAGCAATGAATCACAATTATCTAATTACTGTTGTGTTGAGTGTTATGGAAGAATTCTGCTGTTCCTCTTTCCCATGTCCCATATAATCCTTTCTAGGGATATCAGATCTCTTTAAACCATGCCCCTAAGCTCCTTTCTTTTTTGGCATTTGCTTTAAGTTTTTAGAAAAGTGATATCCTTGTCACCAAGTTGCTAGGGAGGGCTGATTTCTCCAAGGTTTATAGCAACATACTGTCTTCCCACCATAATTATTAACCAGGGAATGGCTCCTTTCTCTCCTGTCTGCCTGGTACACTGGTTCTGCCTGTCTCCACCTAAGCTGAGTACTCCAGATCCTGTCTCTGGGTGTGGGGCTCTTTGTTAGGTTACAGTGAAAGGAGTGACACTGAAAATGCTCTTGATGGGAAGAATCATTCCTGACTGGAGTCAGAACTGATAGTGGATTCTCCCACAATTAGCAGCAACAAAGACTCCAAGACAGTATCTGTGTGACTCCATTGGGCGTAGCTTCCTACTGGCTGCCACAGCTCAGCAGACGCTCCTGTTTACCCATTGTATGCCCCCCACCCAGCGGGCAGAACTTGTCATGTGACCTGGGAGGCGTTGACCATAGAGAGAAACTGGCTCACAGTAGCTGCTCAAAGGTGAAAGAACCCCTCCCAGAGGAACCAGAAGGGATTCTGGGTTTTCAACCCACAGATCTGGGGGGTTTGAGCTGAGGGAAATACTGATTCACCCTGCATTTTGGATTTGTCCCTTGGATGAAGGGCCCCGAGAAATCCATGTTGATACTGGTATTCCTGTCTCATTGATCCTGGTGACTCCATGAGCAGTGTCCCCATGATTTTCCTGGAGTCACCTCCAATTTCTCTCTCTTCTCACAACACCTCTTATGTGGGAGACCAGCAATGTAAAAACTGGAAAAAACGTTCTTATTTTTAAGTCCTACAACTTTCTCCCCAAAAGCCAGAGAGACAGTGAGCATAGAGGCTTGGGGCACCTGAGCGACTCAGTCAGTTAAGTGTCTGACCCTTGGTGGTGATCTCAGGGTCATGGGATTGAGCCCCGTGTTGGGCTCCATGCTCAGGAAGGAATCTGCTTAAAGATTCTCTCCCTCTTCCCCTCCCTCCACTCTCTCTGTCTCTCTCAAATAAATAAGTAAATCTTAAAAAAGAAAAAGAGAAAGAGAAAGAAAGAAAAGAAAAGAAAGAAAGGGTAGGGGCTTTCCCAGGTGCCACAGGCAAGAGCCCCCACTAGAACTCAGGTATTTGTTTCTCAAAACAGGGCTCTTTCTTCTATGCCATATTTCCTAGAGGATCCAGAAGTTCAAGTTTCCAGGGGAAAACTTCAGGAGAAAATACTAGGATCAAGGTTTTCTATTTCCCTTTCTGGCTTTTATTTTCGTTGATAACATCAGACAAATCTATATTTCACATTTTTATCTGAGTCTCTATCTGGTGAGTGCTGAAACAAGATGTGGTATCTGCCAATTCAAAAATTCCTTTGAAATGTTCCAGAAGTCAGACCCAAGGATCTAGCCAAAGAATGAAAGTTCTCTGTCCCAAATTGAGAGACTTATCCCTTAGTATCTGAACCCCATCCTGAGATGTTGGGCCACTGGGATGTTCTCACACCTGAGGGGATGCAAACTGTGCTACCAAGGGCATTTCTGCCCTCAGAGAGGCCAATGTGGCTGACAGTCCCGGGTGAGGCAGAGTGAGGCATCTGAGAGGCAGAAACACAAAGGGTCAAGGCCAAGGGTCCACCTGGGTGGACAGGTGCACATGGCGATGGACCATCCAACAGTCAACCACACAATGTGCTGGCTGACCAGTGAAGCAGGGGCACCAGAAATAATTTCTGAAAGAATTTCGCATTTGGGATTTCAAAGCATCGTCCAACTGGCCCATCCTAGGAAATATCCGAGTTTGGCTGGATCTTCGTACACTTAATTTACAGGTTAGGGTTCTTGTTTTACTCTGAATTACCTAGTACATGTGAACGATGCAGTCCTGTGCTTTAGGCCTGAAGGGTGCTGTTTCCCAGGGCACAGAACGTGCCACCACAACCGGCAAGGGTGCTCCCTGTCTGGATTGTCCACCAGCCAGTTACAGAGCCAGACAGAAGAACCGGTCCCTGAATGTTCAGCCTGAAGCCATACTTCACATCCATTACCCCCTCTCATCATCCAAGCCTGCCAGGGAGTGCTTATGCCCTTCAGCCAGCGAGAATCTGAGGGTCCGTCCAAGGCCACGGCCGGTGACGGGGAGAGCAGAAGGTGTTCTGGAGCCAGGCTGCTGCGAAGGCCTGAGCCCTGCCTGGCAACCAAGAGTGCTGGCTCCTGGACCAGCTCTGCCACTCGCCTGCTGTGACTTTGGGTGCCTGAGCCTTGGTTTTCTCATCTGGGCAGTAAGGGCTTTGGAAGAAAAGATCTCTGAGGGGTGTCCAATTCAATGAGCTCTTTTCTGAGGGTCCCCTCTGTGGTTGACAGATCAGATGTCACAATGGTCCACACCCAAAGGGAGAGGGTGAGGACTGTCCGGCCTAGTGAGCCCCTGCTGCTAGCTACATTCTCTCCCTTCATCTTGTCATGTGGACCTTAGCGGTCAAGTGTGTGGCTTATGAGTCAGAAAGGCCCTGATTCCAATCCCAGCTCCTACTTTCAGCGGTGTGACCTTGGGCAAGTCACTTCCCCCTCCTGGGGCTCATTTCTGTCATCTGTGACCTCCTGGGTTGTTGTGATCCTTATGGGGAGACATAATGCTTAGCTTAGACAACGCTTACATACGAGCCTGGCCACAAGACTCAGAGCTTGCTAGTGTGTCTGCCAGTGACAAAGCCTTGCTTTGCTGGGGGAAAGGCTTGGCCAAGATGATGTGAATCCCACCCAGAGGTGCAACTTGTCCAGATCTGCCAGGATATGTGGTCTAAGATCCCACAGCCCGTGTATGCACAGCCAGCCTGGGTCTTGGTTGCCATCATCTTGTGCACCCAATCTGTCTTCCTGATCCCTGGTCCTGGTTTATAGGTCCTGGCCACTCTGTCCTGTTTCCCCACCCCAGCATTCTCTGCCTGTCTTGGGGTACTGTTTCCCTAGCCCTACTCACCTGTTAAACCTGGTCGACACTGGTGTCTCCTATGGCATCTCCATGCAAGGCCTTTTCGGTGCTGGGCCATGACCCACTAAACCCTCAGCCCTTTCCTTTCAGGCAAGTCTCCTAGGGTAATTTCTTTCAAGATGGTACTCCTACGGGAACTGGACCCACCATCCCTCAGAGATCAACTCCCTGGCATTTCTTAGGACATATATGAGGGAGGGTAGGATTTGTCCCTAGACTTTGCTGACAATGAGAAGAGCATCATTAACAGCTCTCAAGGGCTCAGCACTTTATGCCAGTGGTGTATACTTTATTTTAATGAGAAGTCTGACTGAAATCGATGGATGGATCATCTTTATCTGACTTTGCCTGTTGGAACTATCTGCTCAGTTGAATTCTCTTTTACCATTCTATATTCATTAATTTATTTGTTCAACAATATTTACTGAGCTCCTAATCTGTCCTGGGCACTGTTATTTTGTGTCCTGAGTGCAGAATTAGCTGCATCTAAAGCTCAAGGGCTCTTATCCAAGACTGGGTCTTGAGATATGTGATTTTGGTGATGGCTGCCTTGACTTCCTTGTTTCTCAACGTGTAGATGAGAGGGTTGAGGATTGGTGTGAGGATTGCATATGCTACATTGCCCATGATGTGGAAGTCGAGGGGCAGGTCAGCCCTGTAGGCCACATAGGCTATGGCAATGGATGAATAGTAGGTGCCAACCACCAGGAGGTGGGAGCCGCAGGTGGAGAAGGCTTTTGAGCGTCCTTCTCGGGAGCTGATGCGAAGCACTGAAGCCAGGATGTGGGCATAGGAGAGAAGCACCAGGAGAAGGGGCAGGAAGGATACCACCATGGCGATGCAGAAGCCCATGAAGGTCTGGGGCGTGGTGTCAGAGCAGGAGGCCTGAACCAGAGCCAGGTGGTCACAGAAACAATGGTAGATGTGAGCAATATTGTTATACGCCATCTGGGAGGTCTTGACCACTGCAGGGATGGGCAGGAGGAGAGCGATAAACCAGGCATAGGCTGCCAGGGCAGCATTGGTCTGTGGGGTCATGTGGACAGGGTAGTGCAGGGGGCGGCAGATAGCCACATAGCGGTCATAGGCCATGACCACCAGGATGAAAGCTTCTGAACACGTGAAGCTTTGGAAGAGGTACATTTGCAATAAGCAGGCAGGGAAGCTGAGGAAGTGGTCTCCAAGCAGGAACAGGGACAGCATCTTGGGGACAGTGGTTGTGGTGAAGAGAATGTCCAGAGTGGAGAGGTTGATCAGGAAGAAGTACATGGGCTTGTGGAGGCTGGGCTCTGCCACCACAGCCACCAGGATCAGGGCATTTCCCAGCAGGATGAGCAGGTAGAGGAGGAGGAAAATAAAGAACACGGGGAGGAAGAAGCTCTCTGGCAGAGAGGGGATTCCCACCAGGTAGAAGACTGGTGATCCATCCACTGATCCATTACAGGTTGTGGCCCCCATAGTGAGGCAGAGCTGGATTTCTGGGACATAGGCAGCTGGAACATCTGGACACTGAAGATATCTGAAAACCATAGAAACAAAGGATTCTGGAATGAGATTTTGTAATGTTTATAGTTAATACAAGCACAATTATTTACAGCCAATTCTATAAGACTGATTGTAGGTTATGGTATTTATTGATTTCTACCATGTGAATCCAAAATTCCTACCTTTCTTCTTTGGTCAAATATTAATTAGTAGTTAATAGTAACCTACCAAATGGAAGTCATTATGTTGTGTTTATGCGATACAGTGATGAAGGAAAGAAGGCAGGCAAAATTCTTATCTTAGAGTTTACATCTTACTGGAAAAGTCAGATCTTAACAGTTGATTCTTGAATTATAATTGTGAAAAGTGCTTCAAAAGATTTCTTCTGGTCTTCGTCTTAGGTCCCATGTTATCTAGTTTGGGATGTCAGTTCTCTCAAATCAAGTCCTAAAGCTTGTGTTTCTACTTCTGCACTCACTCAAAGTTCTACCATCTTGCTACCATCTTGTAAGGGCTGCTTTCTCCAAGGCTTTCTGCAACCTGCTGCTGCTCACATACTTACTAAACCTATTTCTTGCTCATATGCCTTGAGTAGTGGTTCTTCCATATACCTCTTTAGCTACATGTCTGGACTTCTACTCCTGTGTGGGATGTAATAGGTCATGGTAGCCCAACACTTGTACTGCAACAACTAGGAAAACCTGGATAAATTACACAAATTACATCTTTTAATAAATTGGAGAAATATGGCTGCAATGAGGATGAAATGAATTGGAACTCCAGAGAGGGGGTACTCTCCAAAATCAACTGCCAATCACCAGCTCTTATCTTTTCTGGGAATATTTGATTTGGGGACCATTGTGTGGCTTGGACTTGGCCCAGGCAGAGGGACACAGATTAGGGAAGGAAAAAACAACAGTGCTTTTGGGCAGTCAAAAAGGGTTTGCAAAGCTGGTGCAGCCACTCTGGAAAACAGTATGGAGGTTCTTCAAAAAGTTGAAAATAGAGCTACCCTATGATCCAGCAATTGCACTACTGGGTATTTACCCCAAAGATACAAATGTAGGGATCCGAAGGGGTATGTGCACCCTGATGTTTACAGCAGCAATGTCCACAATAGCCAAACTGTGTAAAGAGCCAAGATGTCCATCGACAGACGAATGGATAAAGAAGATGTGGTATATATATACCATGGAATATTATGCAGCCGTCAAAAGGAATGAAATCTTGTTATTTGCAAAGACGTGGATGGAACTGGAGGGTATTATGCTGAGTGAAATAAGTCAAGCAGAGAAATACGTATATCATATGACCTCACTGATATGAGGAATTCTTAATCTCAGGAAACAAAGTGAGGGTTCCTGGAGTGGTGGGGGGTGGGAGGGATGGGGTGGCTGGGTGATAGATATTGGGGAGGGTATGTGCTATGGTGAGCACTGTGAAGTGTGCAAGACTGTTGAATCACAGATCTGTACCTCTGAAGCAAATAATACATTATATGTTAAAAAAAAAAAGAAGAAGAAGATAGCAGGAGGGGAAGAATGAAGGGGGGGAAATCGGAGGGGGAGACGAACCATGAGAGACTATGGACTCTGAGAAACAAACTGAGGGTTCTAGAGGGGATGGGTTGGCCTGGTGATGGGTATTAAAGAGGGCACGTACTGAATGGAGGACTGGGTACTATATGCAAACAATGAATCATGGAACACTACATCAAAAACTAAAGATGTAATGTATGGTGATTAACAAAACATAATAAAAAAAAGTTTGCAAAACATTTTGGAAATTTAAGGCACTCTAAATGCATAACAAGTTTTCCCCATGGGTCAGCTTCTGAATTTGGGGGCTATGCAAAAAGGTTGGGAAGCTGGACTGAAGGCTTCTCAAAGAATAAAAAAACTTCTAAAAGATAGATCTCATGATGCTTAAGAGATTAGAGGGAAAGAGCCTCCCTCAAATACAGAATGGTCTTACCCTCAAAATATTTTCAAAATTTCTGAAGCTGTGTGCGTGTGTGTGTGTGTGTTGAGGGGGTAGGTGGCAAGGTTGCTTAACGTTCAAAACCTCCAAAGGGTAGAAGCAAATCTATAATCTTTCAGGGCTAAGGAGATCGAGATCAGCCACGCTAAAAACCCACAGCCCAGGAGGCCATACCTTAAGAACAAGAGCAAGTCAAAGTTGGACTGAATCTTAGGAAAACTGAAACTGAACCTAACTCAAGCCTTGATTAGCTAAATTTTGTGGGGGGATTTGACCGGACTGGATACAAGGGAGCCTTCTGGGTTGCTGGAAATGTGCTATATCTTTAGCTGATTTATCCACATCTATATATCTATACTTGTGGGTTTTTTTTTTAAATTTTATTTGTTTATTTGAGAGAGGGAGAAAGAGAACATGAGCAGGGGTAAGGGGCAGAGAGAGAAGCAGACTCTCTGCTGAGCAGGGAGCCCAACATGGGGCTTGCTCCCAGGACCCTGAGATCATGACCTGAGCCAAAGGCAGCTACTTAACTGACTGAGCCCCCCAGGTGTCCCTATAGATCTATATTTGTATGTACATCAATATCTGTATCTGTGTATTTGATGTCTGAATCCAGAGCTAGAGCTATATTTATAGCTAGATCTCTATCTGTATCTAATATTGTAGGCATTATTATGCCTGAGTTATACTTTAATTAAACAAGCAAGCAAACAAACAAACGCAACTGAATATATTAAATCTTGCCTCTGTGTATGGCTTTTTGTCCTACTACAATGAAAGGAATGGCAGAGGATGCCTTTTGTTGGAGAAGTCACTTGCTGATGCTAGTCAGAGTTAAAGGCATATTCTACCCAGTGGCAGAGACAGAGATTGGAAGGCATTTCTGTGTGATATGATTTGTTCTCTCCCTCCCAGTTGCTGCTGCTGCAGAGCAGGGGGTCCTGATGAACACTAGCCTGTAGACTTCCCTAGCCCCAGCTAAGAAGGTGCTACAGTATACTGGAAACTCAGGGGTCTCGGGGTCCACTGTTGCAGAGACGAACACAGTATTTTTGTGATAGTGCCTAAGGCACAAGCCCCTACCCCAGGGGCTCCCCTTGTCAAGGAAGGGGAAATGTGTGCTTCCAAGCACCTACAGAACTGGAGGCCTTCAACCGACTGAGCGTACTGATTCCTTTCATACACTGGGATGTCCCTCTGAATAAACGACACAGGAGCAAGTCCATGGTCACATTTATATCATTGCCTCTTCAACCCTGACCATTTCTAAAACGACTCCCTCCTTGATTTTTCCAGAACTGTCCTGTTTCTCTGACTTGTGCTAAAACCTCTCTCATGTCATTGAATCATAAGAATACCAAACCTGAAAATGTCCAGCCAGCTTTTTTCTTTATAGACCAAAAGGCCAAGGACTTGCCCAAGATCACATAGGGCCAGTCAGCTGCAGAGCGAGGACCAGAAAACCCAGGCCTCAGACTCCTAGACCAGGACTCTCACTCCCTAGATCATGTTCCCTGGACAATCTGGAAGTTTTCGTGTGGGAAGAGATTGGGGCAGTTTTTTCTTTTTTCTTCTCCATTTCTAAGCTGATATTGGCAGCCACAATCAGAAATTTCAATTTGAAAAAAAAAAAAAGAAATTCCAATTTGTTCTTTAGTTTTTTTAGAGTGGTGGGTGGCCTGGTTTCTCATTAGGGAGTGAAGGCTGGTAAAATGTATTTCCGAAAGACACATAGAACAGACCACGCCATTGTGAATGCTTCCTTGGAAGAAAAAAAATGTTCTGAAGGTCAGCCCACAGTATCCAGACAGGAAAGCCAAACTGCTACACCCCAACCGAAAAGAGTTAATTCTCAGCTAACCAGACCACCAGACTCCAACTGCCTCAGCCAGTCACCAGGTTTTCCTCAGACCCCAAATTGGTGCCAACTGCGTTTGCCTACATGTTGTTATAGCTCAGAGGAATTGACTTGGGACTGACGGTCACTGAGTTAAGCTGAGTTGGGGCTTGAGGTGCAAAAATTCAGGGCCAGCAAGCCCGTTTGTACCCCTCTACCCTCCCTCCTCTGTCCTGCTTCTACCCAACAACGGTGGTGGAGAGGGCAAATGTGGCGTCTGAAGTCCAGAAACAGAGTGTCTTCTCAAGGTCAGCCTTGAGAAGTTCATAGCCAGGGTGGGTCTTGAGCGCAGTTTTCTGGCTCCCATGTGGTGTTCATTAGGATTTTTCAAGATAGAAGATGACCCCCTAGCCTGCCGTCCAAGATGGCTCTTCTGGCAGCCTTATTCCTTCTCACTCTAGTCACATGGCAACTCCTTGCTCTTGCCTTGTCCTTCTGCCTAGCTCAACTCAATGCTCCCTCTCCCAAGAAGCTTCGCTGGTCTTGGCTGGCTCAGGGCCCTCTTTTCTGGCTTTCAGGGTTTCTGTGCTTTCCTTTGTTATCACTATGATCATATTGGGGTGTCTCTGTCTCTTTCTATGTCTGTGGCTCCACCAGACCGGAGCACCTGCAGGGCTGTAATGGAGCCTAATTATTTCTATTTCAGAGTGAGCCACCACCCTCACCAGGAGCTCGGTGCTCCAGAGACAGGAGCCAGAACGCAGCTTTCCCAATAGGCCTTGAGTGGCTGCTGAATCATACCGTCAGCATGAAGGGGTCATTAGCAAGTAGACAGTTTTAGTTTGACCATTTCTTATACAGATAGGGCACACAGCTCAGAAATGGGCTGTGGTTTGCCCAAGGTCACGCAGTAAGTGGGTGACAGAACCAGAACTAGACTATCAGCGGGGCTGCATTATCCCCTGAAGCCGGGGATCACTCAGCAAAAGCCCTAGCTGCCCTCCCTCCTGGGGCCACGGGACAGACCAACTAGTAAGATTTATTTGCTCACCCCGAAGGCACTGAGGCACTTCCCTTCCCTAAACTTCTGTTTTGTCAGAATGCATCTATGCAACAGATAAAGCACGTGCTTAGACACCAGCTAGATCGGAGCACTGGAAAATGTTTTTGCAAAAACTTAGTATCTGATGT